CAGCAGCAACATCAATTCTCACTTATTTTTCTCTGCCACTTATTCATCGATATTTATATACGCAGTATTAACAGCACTCATAATAAATGACTTTTTCTCACTAACAACTTTATTAAACTCTTTTTTACTAATCAAAAGCCTCTGTAACTATTACAACCTAAAAGCTGCGAAGACCCAAATGAATGAATGAATGCAAAACTTATCCGTGATTTCGTTTCTCCTAAAATACTTTTTTATGTGATCCTCTTCATCCAATTTGCTAAGTATCGTTTACTGAATCAGATGCTCCTTTCCTTTTTGCCTTCAAAAAACTAACCGATCATATTCTAAATGTTGTACTTGGTGGTAAACTTCCGGAAATCTCATAAAACTATTTTCTGCACTACTATAAATGAGCATGACCATCGGTTTGGTATTCAGAAAATGCAGTGAACAATATTCTTGGTTTATTAACATTCAGTTGTTATATAATGTTGCATTAAGGCACTAACAGTGATTAAGGCATCTTACATGATGCTAAGTGTGCGTTACACAAAGGCAGCTTGTATTGTCTTCTGTTAAAAAAAAAGTAGGTCTGGAATATAAAATCATAATTCAGAGCAAATAGAAATATAACCAAAGAACTAGAACCGCAAAAAAATACAAAATTTCCTCATCATAATCAACGTTAAAAGTAAATCCCGAACCACATATAAAATCGCAGATCTTCTAAATTTCCCGCATTTTTAAGGACATATCATATACATACAAATTCCTCAAACGGTGAAGAACAACGACGTAAAAACTTATTTTCTAAAATTCTGTAAAAAACAGAAAGGTGAAAAATTAAAAAAAATAATAAGTGAAACGACACAACTGAGCTTTGTTACTAATAACCTGTTTCAGACTAAACGAATACTATTGCGTATGCACAACAGATATTTTTAGACACGATTATCACTGTACCATTATATTTGAAGATGAGTACAACTAACTGCATAAAAATTCATCACGATGTCAGTAACCAAAAAAAAAAAAAAAATTATTTGCTTTACTGACTCTCTGCAGCACCAGTAGCACTGATTGATATTCTTATCCAAAATATTTTCAACAAAAAGACTTCTCAAAATATGGATCACTTAAACCCACACAAGAGAATGTCTACAAAACCTTGCCGTACTTGTAAAATTAAGACATAAATAAGTAACTGAGCTCTCATTCGATCCCACTTCTCTTTCACAACATTTTAAGCAAACTCAAAAAATATGGCGAAACCCCATATGCATAGGTAATTGGGAAAACATAAAACCTATTCGTATGCAGAGTTCCTCACCTACAGGTAAGCTGAGAGGAAAAACTAGTTTGTATACAGGGCTTCCATATAACGACGGTCCCTGAGCAAGAATCACTTGTACGTCATGTTCTCAATAAGGTTTTCACAAGTAAACTAGCAACACTACCGCTTACATTAATTCATCTGCCCATTCACTTTTTAGGAGCTGTGAGACAGAATGCGTTATTCGACTGTCTCAACTGTTACAATAATATCTAGAATTCTCGTATTTTGTGACTGCAGTTCAACGTCGGTTCATACGGCGGTCCTTGGAACTGCCTTCGTACCACGAGTTTGGTCAAAAAAAAGAGACTGCTCATAAGTGAAAATCACTGCTGTAGCTAAAACTGACACAGCAACCCTACAGACGAGTAATATTGTCTTTAGATGGTCTTGGTGCTGAGAGAGCCCTTCTAGACGTCTGTGGTGAACGATGCGGCGACGCATGAGAACCAATAAAATCACCATTAGAAAGGTACCGAACACGTATCACTTCCTGATTGTTGAAACATGTGATAAAGACCCAGTCATCCTTAAATAAAAACAATAAGAATGAGATCGACAAAGTTTCAGTTATCGAACAAGCTGAAGACACACCTGAACAGCTAAGCCCAAGGCTTGTTGAGGACCTATCTGACTACCAAAACTGATTTCTTTCAATCGGCGAATTCCTCTAACTCCACTTAAAAGTATCCATAATTTTCCTGTTGCATAATCGAGAACCAACAGATTACCCTTCTAAAAAAAAAAAAGATCAGACGAAGTAAAACTTGATTCCCAAAAACCCCAAATGCAATAATAAAAAAATAAAAAACTGTTTAATGGTAATGAGGAAAAACTTCTTTTGCAGACTCACTCCGTCAACAACGGCACTTGCAGGATTAGTGATGTGCTCATTAAGACGATAAGTCTTCGTCAAATCGTATTCGTTTATTAAGGACCCTGAGTGATCAACCACAAAAAGTAGAAGGCGATTTTGCGCTGCGTCACAAGTTAAAAGCACGACAGCCCTAAAAGGTTGGAAAACTTTTTGAACGAAGAGAAGATTACATAACAAACATGTTTACGATCCCAATAAATTAACAAAATTGCAGGAACCAGCATGCTCATGACGGTTTTTAGCACTAACAAAATAGCACATATTCCTCTCCAAAAAGTTCGTTCAGAAAAGGAAAAATAAAATAGTTATTAAATCAGCCCAAGCACCGACGAAAAGTATTATTTAGTTCATGTAAAACGGCAGCCACAATAACTTACTTGTAATCAGCCTGATCTTCAGCAATACATAAGTACTGGTAGCGAGTTCTACGAGACTCTTTTAACGTTTTCCAACCCTGTAATAGCCACAATCAATCTGACTGTAGTCATTTGAAAGAGTGAAGAAGCAGTGACTAAAAATGTCTTACTTTTCGAGCTCGATTATACATCCACAACGCAGACTTATGATTATCACCAGAGACCACAAATATTTCACCTCTTGGACTAACGGTAATCCACCGAGTACGACTCATTTCTATTTTCGGTTCTCTAGGACAAGGAATGGTAATCTGCAAATAAAAACTGTATATTAAATCTGCTCAACCACACATTAGAAGAAGTAAATCAAATTAGAAAAAACAAAATGAAGATAGATAATTTGAAAAAACCAACATGAATCAGTAGCAGATGACAGTAAAAATGAAAAATTACATAACTTCTTTCACAAACTACCTTTGGATGTAAAACCGAAAAAAAAATAGAAAAGCTTTTTCTGTAACAAAAACGCTTACCTTATTTCTACTAAAATCATTCAGGTCAAAGATATGTATGTTTCGTCCTTTAGCATGCATCACACTAACAAGTAGTCGCGATGACTCTTGATCAATAGCGAGAGAAGAGGCCGAGCTACCCTCAATACGAATATGGTCTAACACCTCACCATCTGGCTTAGTAATGTAGACACCTAATGAAAAGTAGCTTATTAGAGTAAGACCATACCTGGCCATGCGTACTAAAAATAATTCCGATAGATTTTCAGTTTCGCACAAAACTAAAAACCTGAACTACAAGAAACAGCGCAAACTCAGCCACTATAACCATGAATAAAAAGCTACCACAAAAATATGTACTTTTTCACAGGACTAATTCTGGTTTCTCTTACTTTTTTTTTTGAACAAAATATACAATTTGAAATACAGCCAACCTCCACAGCTGTCGGACACCGCAAGAGCATTAGGAAATTTTGCTCCGGGAGGCAGTGCAATGACGTCAATAGGTCTTGTCAAAAATTTGTTACCAAAACGATAAAAATGTTGTTCAGTCTTCGGATCCGGCACTTCTAAAGTAGATGTTGATGACGAAGAAGGAGCACCAACGCTTGATGACGTATTTATGCTTGTAGCGGGCCGAGACTAAACAAAAATACCAAAACAATATTTTTTATAAAAAATTTTTATGTACTATTATAATTCGATACTTTTAAAATTACAATAACTGGAAAATTTTAAGAAAAACTAAAGCAACCAACAGGTAAGATTTTCCTCAATTTAATGCCAATAATACAAAGCTAAAAAAAAATTAAAAAAATTTTTTTCTTTACGTCTTGACTGTCAAAAGAAGTATCTGCAGGATATGGAGGAATGGAGGAAGCCACTGAGGGGCAGGCTAAGCTGCTTGTGTAATGAGAAGTCGCATTGCTAAAAAAACTTCATAAAAAGCAATCAATATTTACCACCAGTTGATCTCCATTTGATTTAAGGGGACTTAGCTGTAATCCACGCAGATAATTATCCCGACAATTATACCAAACCAATAACATAAAAAATTACTGAGAAACTTTTGACCTTTTTGCATCATCATCAATGCCTGCAAAATTGGATTCGGAATCACTAGGTAATGACCGTTCACGAAAAGAGGATGGTCGAATTTCCCTTATCTAAAAAGAGGAAAACTTAAACATTGAACTACCGGTGACCTCTCTCTTACAAAAAGAGGTACTATCAAATATCACAGCCAGTGGAAAAAGCTAGAAGGAAACACATACGAAGACATTAGGTTCTAAAGGATGTTGTATTTTTGATTGAGATGTTAAATGACCATTCGTCAGATTGCTCGCGTGAGTTACCGATTTACTGGTCAAAGAAATCGCTATGCCATCAGACTTGCCACTTGTGAGTGGGAGTGCTGATGAGTCATTAGAAAATGATGAGAAACAATGAGCAGCCGCTCCAGAAGACGCTGATTTATAAAGCTTATAGCTGCAAAAAGAAAAAGCACCACCAAATGTCAATTAATATAATGAACAGTATCATATAACCAAATCAGAGAACTGAAAGAAGAGATCACCCGTATAAACCTCTTTGTCCACCAGCAACACTTGAATACGAATCATCTGTTATCTCTACGTCAGTATTTTTATTCTGAAGTAGAAACTCTACGCACTGCTTAACACTCCACTTTGAAGGAGGTACAACGCTGACGCTAACATCATAAATGTTTTCTAC